GAGAGAGAGAGAGAGAGAGAGAGAGAGAGAGAGAGAGAGAGAGAGAGAGAGCACTTTAATCATAGCCTGCCTTATCTCAATCCTAGAACTGCGCCCGTTATGTCATTTTCATTTTGACTTTATTAATCTATATCTGTTTTTTTCTGAATGGTGTCAATTGTATTCGTTACGTTCTGCCTGTTTGTTTGTTTGGTTTTTTTTAAAGTCAAGATTCAATCTAGTTGATATTTGTCTTCCGACCTGAACCATTTTAGCAAATGGTGAATGGAAACCGGTTATTTAATGTTTTGCGTGTTCTTTTTTTTACCCTTATTTTTCCATATCCAGAAGGTTTTGATTTTCCAATGTCTGTGACATCATATGATACCTTTATTGTGCATCGGTTTCATCTCTTCTTGGGTAAAGTTTAATAGTGGGTGGTTGGCGGCTGCTCTGGTGTGGTTTGCTCCTTCTTTCCTATAAAAAACCTATCGTCTCTATCTCCCCTCCTTCTTTTTTGTGTTGTTACTCTTGTCACACCTGTAATCTTCGGCACTTATATGAACTTATTGTGTTGCCAGTGCCGTAAAACTCTTACTAAAACTAAAAACTGACGTCAAAGAGTTTGAGTTTCACTCCAGGTCAAGTTTTTTCGAATGCAATTTCTTTGACTATTTTGATAACGACTTCGAATAATTATACGATTTTGATAGAGCTGATAGAACATTTGGTTTCTGACTTCGAGGTCTTAGTAACTCAAAACGACCAAGAAATGTCAGTGGGTGGTTGGTGGATGCTCTGGTGTGGTTTGCTTCTTTTCTCCTGTCAAACATTTATCGTCCTTACCCCCCCTTCTTCTCTTTTTAATGTTTGTTACTCTTTTGTAACACCTCTAATCTTCTGGCACTCATATGACCTTATGCAGTTGCGAGCGCCTTAAAAACTCTACTAAGACTTTTAAAAAAAACTGTTTTCGAATTCAATTCTTTGAATGTTTTCTTGATAACGACTCCGAATAATCTTACGGTTTTAAAAGAGCAGATAGAACATTAAATTGGTTTCTGACCTCGAGGTCTTAGTAACTCAAAACGACCATCTAGAAATGTCAGATAAAATTTGTAATTCTAAGGAAGCGACTTGTTGTGGTTTGTTGGGTGGTTGGCGGGTGGTCTGGTGTGGTTTGCTCCTTCTTTCCTGTAAGAAATCTATCGTCTCCATTCCTCCCCTTCTTTTTTGTGTTTGTTACTCTCTTGTAACAACACCTCTAATTTTTAGCATTTATATGACCTTATTGTGTTGCAAGTGCCGTAAAACCTCTACCAAAACTAAAAAAGAAATGTCTCAGATAGAACTTTGTAATTCTAAAGTATCCACTTGTCGTGATTTCAGACTCGAACCCCGGAGCCCCGGTGGTGGAAGCGAAGAGCCCACCTCCCTGGAGCCGTCTCACTCGACACTGGAACCCTCCCTCAACATTAGCCATCATGTCAACGGCCCCTTGCAAGGTAGGTCAGCGGAAGTATACCCATCAGGCAACCACGCGACACGCTCACACACAGATATACAGCCAGGCTGGAGTCACAAGCGATCTCTCTCTCTCTCTCTCTCTCTCTCTCTCTCTCTCTCTCTCTCTCTCTCTCTCTCTCTCT